AATATTCTTTCAGTGAATTTCCATTTTTCTTCTCTTTAAATTCTAGGGATCTTGAGAAAGTATGACACCTCTAAAAACCATACACTATGAAAACTGTGGTGTCAATACATTCTTTCCTTTCCCAGATATTCATCTCCACCTATGATCATTCTTTTTTTCTCAAAACATTCTCCACCCCCACCCAATGACAGTGGCAGGACAGATTTACCCCCAGTGGTAGTCAGAGGCCAGGTCAACCCATCCCACATGCAACACTCAGTGACAGTAAAGTGCCTGATTCACCCACACCATCAGGGCTAGCTAACTCCTGTCTGTCAAGCAACAGCAGCAGCCACCTTCATGTGCACTGGTGTCAACAGTACCAGTAGGTATGACCCATTGCAAAGAGGTAGAAGGAAAACCAGTTCCCAATCCTTTATTCAGCAATAGAAAGTAATTTAGACTCAGCAGCTCCTGGCTGTGCACCCAGTGGAAGAAGATGATACTCATGAGATGTTTCCCAGTATTCCCCACTCCAGGCAGCAAACAGAGAGCCCAGATAGAATCTGTCTTCACCCAGAGGCACCAGCAGAGATACAGTGAAGCACAATGACATCCAGTAGCTGAAGAACAGCCAGGGAAAATGCTCTCCATCCCATGGGTCTTTTATCACACATCCCCACCCAGCAACACCACCTGTCCCAGAGATGTATTACCTATACCTACAGCTGAACAACCTAAGATGTAGCAGGAGCTCCAGAAGACCAAGAAGAATGAAGCATACCCCATTCTTGATATATAATGCAATAATACTGAAAGTCAGAAGAAAGCTAAATTTTAGTTGGAACACCAGACCACATGAAACCTAAACTTAAACAGGGTGCGTGGCTTCTAAAATAAAAGATTTAAATAAAGTCAAGAGTCTTCTTGTCTAAATATGAACAATACGATCAACACCACTCATTATACCAAGGACCAGGAAAATCACAACAAAAACAAGAAAACAAAATTAGCTTATGTCAATATTGACGTTAAGTAACATGTTGGAACTACCAAACAAAGATTTGAAAGCAGCCACAATAATAATAATAATAAAATTGAATCAATGAACCATGACAAATTGTCTTGAAATAAATGGAAGAACAGAAAATTTCATTAAAGACATATAAGGCAACAAAAGAAAAAAAATCAAAATATTAGAATTGAAAAATGTAATAAACAAACAAAAAACACTGAAAAAAAAAACTCTATGGCAGACTGTAGATTGTAGAGTATAGAACCGCTGAATTGGAGGAGAGATGAGTATAATTTACCCAATCTGTAAAATTGAGGAAAATGGATTGAAAAAATGCATACAGGCTCAAGAACTTATAAAATAAAAACAAAAGATCCAAAACATATGTATAATCATAGAAGAAGAAGAAAAAGAAATGAGTTGAAATAGTATTCAAATAATGGCTGAAATTCTGGTCAGCAAGGCAGTGGGATAAGAAGCCCTGAATCCTCCTTCTCCCAAAAGCACACCAATTCAGGAGCACTCCAGTAAAAACGTCCTTTATAAGAAATCAGAAACTAATAGAAAGGCTCCTGTGCCCTGGGGGATGCTAAATCAGACTCATCAAAGCCAGTAGAGATTTGGGATGCTCTCTTGTCACTCTACCCCCAGAGCAACACCACAGCTCCACAGAGGGGAGGTAAAGTGTCAGTTCATATGTCCAGCACCCCAACTTTTCCAAGGGGGCTGCCCAAAGAACTAGCATCTGTGTCACCATATGGCAGAGTGTAGATTGTAGAGGATAGAACTGCTGAATTTGAGGAGAGATGAGTATAATTTACCCAATCTGTAAAATTGAGGAAAATGGTTTGAAAAAATGCATACAGGCTCAAGAACTTATAAAATAAAAACAAAAGATCCAAAACATATGTATAATCGTAGAAGAAGAAGAAAAAGAAATGAGTTGAAATAGTATTCAAATAATGGCTGAAATTCTGGTCAGCAAGGCAGTGGGATAAGAAGCTCTGAATCCTCCTTCTCCCCAAAAGCACACCAATTCAGGAGCACTCCAGTAAAAACGTCCTTTATAAGAAATCAGAAACTAATAGAAAGGCTCCTGTGCCCTGGGGGATGCTAAATCAGACTCATCAAAGCCAGTAGAGATTTGGGATGCTCTCTTGTCACTCTACCCCCAGAGCAACACCACAGCTCCACAGAGGGGAGGTAAAGTGTCAGTTCATATGTCCAGCACCCCAACTTTTCCAAGGGGGCTGCCCAAAGAACTAGCATCTGTGTCACCAATCTTGGAGCTCTAAAGTGTGTGGCACAGTTAGCTGGCGAGGGGAGCTGTGGTGACTGAGACTAGTAGATGCTATTGATCCTCTCCATTTCTGGCACAAAATGAGCCAACAAAAATCACAGCTGTCTGCTTCTTCCAGGAGAGGAAACGGTTAAGAGAGACTCCCAGAACTGCTTGCCCAGCTGATGGGTAGGGGATTTTACTCAATGAGGCCAGTCTGTGAAGAGTGAAAATGTCTGCTTTGCCTAATACACAGACACCAACACAGAGAGTCAAGGAAAATGAAGAATTGAGCAAAGATATACCAAACAAGGAATATGATCAATCTTCAGAAACTGACTCTAATGAGATGGAGTTTTAGGATTTACTTGACAGAGAATTAAAAATAACTCTCATTAAGATGCCCATTGAGCTCAAGAGAACAATGCATGAACAAAGTGAGAAATTCAACAAAGGAATAAAATATGAAAAAGCACAAAAGAGAAATCATGGAGATAAATGATACAGTAAGTGAACTGAAAAATTGACTTTGGGGGTGACTATAGTTTGGATATTTTTTGCACCCGCTAAAGTCATTTTGAAATTTGATCCCAAATGTGGCAGTTTGGAAGGTGGATCCTAGTGGGAGGTGATTGGATCATGTGAGTATATTCCTCAAGAACAGATTAATGCCCTCTTTTGGGGAGTGGTGGTGAGTTCTTGCTCTCCTAGTTTCTGTGAGATCTGACTGTTTAAAAGAGCTGGACACCTTTTCTCACTCTCTCCTGCTTTCTCTTCCACTCTATAATTCATTTGCATACACCTGACTCTTTGGCTTTTCGCCATAAGTGGAAGAAGCATGAGGCCAAAATCAAATGAGGCTGCCCAGAATTATGAGCCAAATAAATCTCTTTTCTTTAAAAATTACTCAGACTCAGGTATTCTGTTTTAACAACACAAATAGACTGAGACAGGGCTCCAAAAGGCAGACTAGATCAAACAGAGAAAAAGACTGGTAAACTTGAAGACTGATAAACACCATTGAGAGGGCTAATTAACAAATTATGGGAGTCTCAGAAGGAAAAGAGAGAAAAGACCAGAAAGTTTATTCAAATAAATAATGGCTTAAAACTTCTCAAATATGGGGAATAAAATTAAGAACTAGATTCGAAAAGCCCAAAGATATTAAATAAGATGATCCTAAAAAAATCCACACCCAGACACATTATAATCAAATTGTCAAAAATT